TAAATAAATAAATAAAAATTAAATGCATGGACACCTGGATTGGGTTTGTGGGCATTTGGGCCTGTAGCAACAATTAACACAAGAATGGCCGAAATAGCGATGGGATTGAATAAATGGACTGAAATTAAGCATTACAATCCAAACTATGTAAACTACCCTGCCACGAGCAGATAGATGCATAGAGCAATAGAAAACGAAAATCGGAAAATCTAGAATTCAATGAAATAGAATTAAGATAAACTTTTTTTTTTTGGTTGTGAATATGTAATTGAAAATGTTGAAAATGAGTGTTTGAGAGAAGTTATTCTTAAATAATCAAAAATCAGATCGGGGTGAAGCTAAATCTTATGCAGAGAAAAAAAATTATACTGGACTGATACATTGAGAAAAAATTTAAGACAGAGACGTCAATTTTTAGATTTGGCATCGACTAGCAAGTTGCAAGAATCAATAATTTCGCTAATATATAATATTATAAAATCAATTTTGATTCGGTTTACTGGTCAATAGCAAGATTTTGTAATCATTAGATATTCACATAAATAAATATTAATTAGTCAATTCGATCATTGAGAAGTAACATGTATTTAATCAATTTCAATAATCGTGTTGATTTAACAAAAGTTCGATATATTTTTAATGTAACTTCGTAATTAGCATTTAAGAGAGTAAATGACCTTAGGCTCTGTTTGATTATTGGTCCCTATGCCCTTCATTTTACACGACTTAATCAAATCAAACAATGTCGATTTCATATTTCATCTGTCAATCATATTGTTTCATCAATTTTTATTAAAATCTGCTAAATATTTATTTTAAAAAAAACTTCGTCGAATAACCCATAAATAGAAAAGGACCAATGACCTTTTAAAGCTATTGGAACCAGTTTCTAGTAGAGATAAAAATGGTTCGATTAGACGACTTTTAACTTATTTTCAAATTAAACAGTTTAAAACAATTTGGAACAAAGATGTTGGTTCATATACTAAAATGCATCACACAAAGAGTCAAATTTAAAGATACATGCATCCCTTATGATTTACCCGTGATCATTAAATAGAAAAGGAAGTAAAAAAGTGGTGGAAAACATGATTTTGACTGGTGTGTTCACGGAGAGAAATGAACATTATTTTCCTGTAGTTTTCACTTTTTCTACTCCAATTTTTCACTCTGCCTTTTCTGATGTCAATCTTTTTTGGGTTTATCCACTCTGTGAGCCTGGCCATAGGAGTGCAGCACTGTCCATCTTTTTTACTAGTGGGGCTTACTGACTTGAGAGATGCCACTACTGACACTGAATTAAACAAGGACTGGGTAGATTCAATTGAAATCAAGGGTTGAGGTGAATGAAATCAAGGATGGAGGTGGATTCACCTCAGCCCTTGTTTAAGTAGCATTAGTGTACGGATTACCCTTCGTGTACATGAAAGGTTTGACAGAACCCTTCCAAAACACGCACAATAGGTGGGCCACCCACTTGTGACCCACCTCATAAAAAATTCAAAAACACCCTCCCCTCCCCTCCCCTCCCCTCAACCTATTGTGTGTGTTCTGAAGGGGTTATGTGAAACCCCTCCT